GTAACCACCTGGCCATGCCGGGCGTCCACGAACTGTTCCGACAACCAAACTTGGCAGGTGAACTAAAAGTGGCCTGGGGGGTGTCCTTATCTATAAGGCGTAGCCCCCTACAAAGGGGTACCAAGGAGCTAAAATTGTGTAACCTGGTCTAAAACGTTCGATGGTTATATATTTTCGGTCAACTTATATATATATATATCCAACAAGCCTGGCATGGCCTGATGGTTAGGTGATTCGACTCGCAAACTGCGGGTTCGAATCCTATCATCGAATATGCTTCCCGTTTTTAAAACTATCCGATTAGATTATCCTCACAGATTATCACTTCTAAATTAAGGTTAACATGGCTCTTGAGTATTTTTTCACAAAACTCAAAAACAAACAAACATTTTTTGAACCCAAATAATTCAACGTATTTATTTTCTGACGGACTTTCCCCAATATTTTGTTTTTTCCGTTTTTGTACAATAAATAAGTGTAAATTTACTGATGAGTCTGTTGTATAGTGGTCATTCATTACATAGTGCCTGTGGTTGTTTTATATATATACACACACACATTGATGAAAGAGTGTCAAGGCTAAGTCGACGCAGGAAAGAAAGTTTGAACAGGAATGCGTAGGAACTCAGTTTTTTTTAAATATATTATTTGTTTCTAATTATGCACAAATCTACACAATGGGCTATCTGTGCTCTGCCTACCACTTTTTGATAATAAAAACCTCAATTTGGATAAATTGCGCTAGCAGATATAATTACACATGTGACGTCATTGAATTCTCATATATATGAACGTCTCATATACAGACGAATAAATTAACGATTTGGGTTTAAGATTTAGTATAGGATTACATAATTCTTACTTTCAGTACTTAATTTAATTCGAAAATGAGTGACGTGTATAGTATTCCATTTAATTAACTGTAGTGCGCCATCTTCTGTAGACATATAAAAATATTAAATTACACTAAAATTTAAAACGTGTGTCTATTTCTTTCCTTCCATTTCTATTTTGAGAGAGTTGTAATAACATCAAAAATTGAAGTTAAAAAAATGCAGCATGAAAAATGGGACACTGAATAAAAAATACATTAAATTAAATATATATTAATAAAGCTCGCTTTTTTTCTTGTCTTAGCAGTTTTGAGTTAATATATTCTTAAAATAGTAACTAATAAATTCAATAAAAAAGCTGAAATCCGATACATTAAAACACGTCTAACATAAACATTTCTTAATATAGCACGTACTTGATTGAAACTAAGTTTGCAATATTCATTCTCAATAGATGACAATTTATCAATGTATATACAAAAATATATATATATATTTGAGAAATTTAACAAAGAAAAAAACCTATCCAATGTTTCAGTTTTTTTTTTACCCGGGACGATTGATATTTGGAGGTAGCTGTTCCATAAAACATCGCTGTCTGAGAATACCCGACCATAGCTGAACCCCTACAATACCAAAAATGAAGAATACAAAGAAACACAAGAGGAGAACGTTGCCTAACATGGGGAGGGTGTCCAGTAATAGCATCACCAGGATCCGCATACCTAGAAGGTTATAAAGAAGTGATTGAATCAAATACATAAATATATATTTGTTTACTTGTAAATCGTTACGAAACTACATCACAAAAAGTCTACATTTAGTAATCATTCTATAATTGAATTAATTCATAAAAACAAAGACACAACAACGCATCGTTTCAATGACAATCATCTTCATAACCAATACGATACGTAAACAATCTGGCATCAAAACGACTTTCTGACAGACATTGTAGTGTTACTAGACAGGATCGCTTAACGTGACAACGATTCGTATAACAATCGTTTTACACGTTATAATTATAAATTTAACATCGAATTTGTGAAACTAATTTTTAAAGAAAATTATTCCGTAACAAGACAATAAAACTGACATAACTTTTAGATTGAAAAAAAAGCGTTTGAATTGTATTTTCAGGATCTGGTAAACCTGTAACTGTTTTTGTTTTATGTAGGAGGGTTCCAATAGTTTGACGATAATTTAGTTCAGAAATTCAAACGTTTCAGTTGTAAACGTATTTGTAGTGTGTCGCACTAAAAAAAAATTCTGATATTTTATTTCCTTTAGACATTACACAAATAATCGATGTCAAATAAATTACGATTCCAACTGTACTATCTTTCACATTAAATATCTTTAGGTAACTTAAATGGTTAAAAATATTGTTTTAAAAATACGGTTAAAATAACCATGTATCTGTTTACCATAGAACAACAGAAAATGCAGCCCATGTATCTGTTTACCATACAACAAAAGTTATTTTAGTTAAAATAACCATGTATCTGTTTACCATAGAACAACAGAAAATGCAGCCCATGTATCTGTTTACCATACAACAAAAGTTATTTTAGTTAAAATAACCATGTATCTGTTTACCATAGAACAACAGAAAATG